CACGTGCTCACACAACCACAGGGTCACAGAGGGCTGTGCGGGCCTTCACGATCCCTGAGCTCTCTTCCTACCCATGTGCACACCCCCGGGGCTCCTGCCTCTGCTCGAGCCCCTGCGGTGATGGACGGCTTACCGCCCCCAGCGCAGCTCTCCTTCCTTCAGTGGAGATTTCTGTGTGTCTCCTTGCACTGTTCTCTGCCATTTTCCTTCCTCTGCCCCCCGCACCTCCACCCCCAGGTTGCTCTGAACTAGACTGACTCTGGGCAGCCCTTCAGATATTTGACAGTGGCCCATGCCTCCCCAGTCTTCTCTTGTCCAGGACCAAGGCTTGGCTCTTTCAAGAATCCCTCTTCTACCTGTTTTGATGTCCCCTCACTATCTGGGTCCATCCGAAAAGGCTCCTGAGGTTTCTTCAGAGAGGAATCCCCACAAGCCCTCATCTGCACTTTCCGTTGGCCGAACTCAGCACGCTCCGCTTAACGGAATGGTACAGGGCAAGCTGTGCAAACAGCCGCCGGCCTAGCCACGCCGGCCTGAAGGAGGGGCAGGGAGGGGGCGCTGACTGCCTTTCCTTCTCTTCTACCCCATCAAGGCATGGGAACCGGCAGCCTGTCCTCCAGACGGTTGCCTCCCTGCCTCTGCTCTCTCCAGGAAATGTTCTCCCCAAACCCACCCCGTGTGCAGCGAGGGAGGCCCACCCCGGATGGGGACACTCCCCCACCTGTGCACGCTCGGCACAGCCCAGAGGAGCCCCTGCTCTCTGGCATCTCCTCCTCCTGCCCAGGACTGGCAGGGATCCACAGCCTTGGCTCCTGGAGGAGCCGTGTCAAGGCCCCGCAGCCTCCCGACAGTTGAGATAGTGATGGGTCTGTTTTCAGTGGACAGACTTGTGGTTATCTTCCCCAAGGAAGCCAAGGCGGGGGCTGGGTTGGAAGCCTGGGGGTCTGGCCGTAGGCCCTCAAGCTCCCAGAGCAAGCTCCCAGGGCACACTCCGGAGACAAGCTGCTTGAATTCAGAGTCTGGGCTACCCTGGCTTACTGTGTGACCTGAGTCAGTTTATTTAACTTCTTTGTGTCTTGTGACCTCATCTGCTCATGGAAATGATAATCGTGTCTGTCTCTCATCGGTGGGGCCCACGTGAAACGTGCACACGGACACCGGGCACGGGTGCTGACACATTGTCTGTGATCACTGGGTGTTTACTGCTCCTATTGCTGCTTTATACAACGTGGTCAGGGAGCAAGTGATGTAGGACTAGAGCCTTCCTCGCTTTTCGAAGACTTCATTCTCTTGAGTGAGCCTAACAACTCATGGGATGAGAACATCAAGATTTATCATTACCACTGGATGTGTGAAAATACTGAAGCCCAGAAAGGTCAAGTGACGAGTCCAAGATCACAAAGCAGACCCATCTCCAGATCCCAGACCATCTGATCTCCTGCCTTGGGCTCCTGGGATGTGACTCTGATGGACAGCTTGATTTATACCATCACTGCATTTTCCCTCATGCTCTACAGCTGTCTTATTTTCTAAAATCAAGAGCTAGGCATGTGATCTTGGAAATAAAATCCCCAATCTGGATACTATACAGGCTCCCTTGTCCCAGGCCTCCCGGTTTCTATCCTAAGGGGCATCCAAGGATGAGATTCCTCTGTCTCTTCACCCCCTGACCTGACTTCTGGGCCAGGGCTTGTCTAGTCTCTGTTTAAGTTTACAGCCAGGCTCACTGCCCAATCCAAGGCTTGCTGTCTGACCCTGAGCCGGAATCTGAACATCCTCCTGGAGACCTCCACAGGACGCCCCATTCAGGACATCTCGTGAGTAGCCTCCTGCACTGTCCCCAGGAAGGGACTCAGGCTCTCTCTTGCAGATCCAAGCCCTTTTCTCCTAAGGCTTCTGGACTGGAGCATGGCAGGGTGGGCATGAGGGGTGGGAGAAGGGCATACCTGGCTGATCCAGATGCATCCCTCTAGTTTGCCAGTCCCCAGAGCCCTTATTATGAGATTCTGGGAGACTAGTGCCTGGGGCTGGGAGTTGCCATGTTCTATTCAGTGGCTCCAGAAATACCAGATTTTTCCACTATGTCCCATCTGGGCCCAATAAGCACCATCACTTCAATGTCTGCGCTAAGTGGTTTGCAAGGCTGTCTTGGCTGTGTGTTCCTGGGAAGGAAAATTTATCTCAGCGCTCTTCCTCTGGCTCTAAGAGACGCCTTTCTCCCTCCCCAAGAGATATCAGGCATTGGCTGCACTGAGCACGTATCCTCCAGGGGTGCTCCAGTGACATCCATTTCCTGACAGCTGGACAGCCCTCCTCACTTCAAGACCCCGCTTTGCCATCCCTCCTCCCCCTGCCCCTCCCCACACCCGTGTTCACACTTGGAGTCGGCCTGCAGAGCCTGACGGCACGCGGAACTGGGTTCTCACTGTCCTCACTGTCACTCAGAGCACAGCTTGGTGCTGTTATCAGACACAGCCAACGGGGCCGAAAGTCTGGAAAGCCTTGTTGCAGCTGAGCGGTATTGCAGGGCTGAAAACTAGCTACGGGGCAGAATTGTTCTTACGCCTCTTCACGCATGCAACAGATATTCTTGAATGACCACTAAGCGCCCCCATTTTTCTCTGGGTGTTGGGGAGTGCAGAACAAGACAGATGAAGCCTGCCCGCAAGGAGCTTACACACAAGGGCCGCAGAACTGACAGGCAAGTAAATGTACAGTAAGTACCACAAGAAGCAGAGCCGGGTGAGGGACACGATGTGCCTGGGGGTGGGAGGGGCGTGTCCTACACACAGGCAGCCCAGGGAGGCTTCTCCAAGGAGGTGCCTGCCTGCAGAGACTCAAAGGAAGTGAGCCTTGTAGCACTGAGGGAAGTGTCAGGGGCAAGGGCACAGGAGTGCCCAGGCCCTGAGCAGAACGTGGCCAGTGTGCTCAAGGACAGCAAGAATGCCACTGAGGCTGGAGCAGAGAGAGCGAGGCAGAGGGCGAGAGCAGATGAGCTGGACAGAAAAGTTGAGGCCAGTCAAGATCCTGCACACTCCGGCCCGTGGCGTGATTCTGTCAGCCCATGAGCTAAGAACGGTGACTACACTTGGGAAAGGTCAGAAGAAGGAAACAAAGGTGAAGACAGAAATGGAGACAGTGATGAAGACGAAGAAGGAGAAGAAGATGATGGCGATGTGACAGACCCCCCAAGGGACCCTCAGAACCTAAAATATTAACTACCTGGCCCTTTACAGAAGAGGTTTGCTCATTCCCCAATATAGAGCTCTCAGGGACAGTAAGCCATCTGGGTTTTATTTCCAGCATCACAGGAAGCAAGGAAGTTCTGGGCAAGAAAGTAAGTGGCACAAGCCAAGGTAGGCGCATGTCAGCGCTGCCCTGGGCTCCCAGCAGCTATAGGTTCTGTAGCGCAGGAGGCTTTATACTCACGCGGGCGAGGGCGAGGACGGTGGCTATGTCTGGGATGGGGGCAGCGGCCATGGAAAGAAGGGGCTGATTTTGAGGCACACCTGCAGCGTTGTCACACTGGATATGGGATGTGAGGGAGGAAGAGGAGCCAAAGACGACTCTCGGGCTTTGAGGTGGGACAACTAAGGGTGTGCTGGTGCAGAAGGCTAACGGGGGAGCAGCTGGCGGGGCAGGTTCGAGAAATCAAGAGCTCCGGTGTGGCCGTGATCAGGCTGAGATGACGATTGGACATCAAAGTGCAGACACTGATACACACATTTACATACACACACACGTGCAAAACGCACACACATAACGTAAAGGATGCTGATGTCATCGACGCTATTTGAAAAACAGAAAGAAAAGAATAACTCTCTGTGGAAGACTTACTCTGCCACGTGAAGTATCTGATACTCATTCCCACAACAATCTGTAAGGAAAAATCTATCCATCTGTCTCTCCCAGTTTACTGAAGAAACTGAGGCTGAAAACAGGTGAGCAGTTTTTCCAACATTGCACACGGAGCCGGGTAGTGGGGAGAGCTGGGAGGTGAAGCCAGGAGTCCCTGCTCTTAACCCACATCTACTAACCAGAGCAGCGCATCCCTGTCCACTACGGCACAAAGCCTTTCTTTCTTGGCACCTGTGTTTGGACATTTTTATGCGGGCAACGCAATGGACAAACTGAGTTCCCCCGGTTTCCTGGAAGTGACTCTACAGACCAGAAACGAAACAATGTTCTTGCTCTCTGCCTCTGAATTTAGCAAAATGGAATAAACACATTTTTATTACAATAGCTTTTTCTTATTTGGTACTTTTTAAATTATGAAGTAACATGTGCTTATTAATTGAGATAAAAAATATGGAAAAATAGGAAGGGAGGAAATTAGTAATGTCCACAGCCCTCAAATATAGCCATGACTGATTCTGGGACTACTTCAAACAATTTTTTTGAAGTTGATTTGTTTTGGGAAACAGAAAGAGTACAAGTGGGGGAGGGGCAGAGCGAGAGAGAGGTAGGGGACAGAGGATCTGAAGTGGGCTCTGTGCTAACAGCAGAGAGTTCAACGTGGGGCTCAAAGACACGAACCGTGAGATCAAGACCTGAGCCAAAGTCAGACACTTAACCGACTGAGCCACCCAGGCACCCCTGATTCTGGGACTTTTAAAAGGCTGCACTTGACCCACTGTGTAGTTAGCAACAGTTTCTGGGGCTCAGAGCTGTGAGCTCAGAATGGGAAGGGTGGGTGCCCTAAAGGAACCGATGAACTGTCTGGCAGAAGAGTCGGGTCATAATAAAAATGGCTGACATTTATTAAGACAATATGTGTGCCAAGAATTGTGCTAAGTGTTTTAACTGCATCATTTTATTTCTCATGTCCCATTTTACGGATGGAGAAACCGAGGCTCTTGTCACTCCCAGGCAACAGAACTGAGACCCAGGGGTAATGAATCCCAGAGCAGGAGCTATTCAATCTCATGCCATTCTGCACCTAGAAAACAAGCATGGCCCACCAGAAGGCTCTAACAGATACTGCTTTTTGTTTCCCCACCCAAGTGGGGTGTAACTTTAGAACTGACCTCAACTTTGGATTCAACTCACACATGCCATCACATCACCGATCTCAACAAATATTTCTGGAACAAATAAATAAAAACTAACATCTGATGAATCCAGAAGACAATTAAGGGGAGGAAGCCAGAGTGAAGCAAGGCTAAGGGATTCATTCATTCAATAAGTATTTATTGGGCACCTACTAAGGGCCAACCATTGAGCTACACGCTGAATACCTGCAGTGACCATGACAGACTAAAATCCTGGCCTCATGGTGGACTTGGGTTGATGGATCACCATGGTTGGTGAACTCTGTTTTTTTTTCTTTTTTAATGTTTTATTTATTTCTGAGAGAGAGAGACAGCGTGAACAGAGGAGGGTCAGAGAGAGAGGGAGACACAGAATCTGAAACAGGCTCCAGGCTCTGAGCTGGCTGTCAGCACAGAGCCCGACGCAGGGCTCGAACCCATGAACTGTGAGATCATGACCTGAGCCGAAGTCAGACGCTTAACCGACTGAGCCACCCAGGCACCTCTGGTGAACTCTAGGGAAACACTCCAAGTGGCTTCCCCTCAGACCTTAGAGGGCTACTTCACTTCACTCTGATGCATGTGGTCTCCCTGCGACCAACTTGCTCTACAAAGCAAAGAATTCCAGGAATAGAAACATCTAACTACAAGATGCTTCTCTTTTATTCTTTGACCAAACATTGTTCAACTTGTCCTTCCACGTCATTTCTTACTAGCTTATTTCTGCTCAGTTTCCAACCAGACCCACTAACTGGAATTTTTAACCTAAGGCTCTGGCCCTCCAGGGGTCGCCATGGATGAGAGGATGCTATATGGATATATATTTTGCAGAGGGTCCCGGGGCACGAGGGGAGCATGGGTCCATTGCTTCTGTTGGATTTTCAAAGGGGTACATAACCTCAAAAAAGTAAAAATCCATGGCTCTCGTCTTTTTCCACTTCAGTGGTATTTCCTATAATCTTTGAGTGAATGTTGACTCTTTTCTCCTATAACAGGCTCTCATAAAGCTGAGACTGAGTGGCATTTGGGGTTTGCTTTCAGAAACGATGTGAGTGTAGCGTTGGTATTTTTCCAGGCACGGCATAAAACGGAACTTAATTCATTCACTTCCACATTGACACAAGGGGGAATGTTCCAATTCCTCGGCCGCTGAGAAAGGCAATGTCCCCCACCAGGCTTCACACAACCCTCTTCCACTTGATTATTATTTGAGTCTCACCCCTGGCCCTGGCTCCACACCGTGGGTCCATACCGTTTCCCTGAGTACACACAGTCTTCGACTTTTTGGGGCCAAAGAAAATAACCCTTTTCTGATAGTCGAAGGCAAGAACAGACTTCCTAAGCGGGTTGTTCATCTGCCAGAATTCCTGCTCACTATGCTTATTCTTGAACTCCAGATATCAATCACCATCTCTATAGGGCAGAGAAATGGAACAGAAAATACAGACAGTCTCCTGTTATTTCACTTTGTTGAAAGCAAGTAGCACAGTCAAGTGGAACATTTAAGAGTCAAGGCCTCTGTGAGCACTCATCCCTTCACTTCCTCAACAAATACGTATCGAGCGTCTGCTGTGTTCCAGATGCCTTCTAAGTGCTGAGGACACAGTAGTAGACAAGAAAGACATGGTTCCCACCCTTCTGGAGCTTATGGACTAATGCAGGAAAGAGTAAATATACGTGTGCTGAGAGCTAGGACAATAATTATGGAGTACCACTGGGAACATGTAAGCAAAGGCCCTATGTAATATGACTGTGGTGAAGAACAAGGAAGGCATCCCTGCTGAAGTAACAGACATGCTGAGGGCTACAGGCTGTGTGGAAGGAGAAGAGAGTTGGAGCCACTGAGTCTTGTGCAAAGGTCCTGAGGCCGAAACTAGTACAGCATATTGGAGGAACTGGAAGAAAGCCTACGAAGCCAGAACAGAAAGTGGAGCCACAAACGGCTGGAAATAGCCTAGAGAATAAGGGCTCTGTATAGATAAAGCCTTGCATGTCCCTGTGGGGATTTGGGTCCTAATCCTAACAGAAATGGGGAGTCATGGAAAAGTATGGGGAGGCATATAGAGCATGATAAGATCTGAAGGGTCTTTTTTAGTTTAATTTAGTTTTGTTTTTTAAGATTTTTTTTTCAAGGAATCTCTGTACTCAATGTGGGGCCTGAACTCACAACCCCGAGATCAAGAGTCGCATGCTCCCTCAACTGAGCCAGCCAGGTGTCCCAAAGATCTGAGGTTTTTATTTTTATTTTTACTTTTTAAAAATATTTTTATTTATTTCTAGGAGAAAGAGAGAGAGAGAGAGAGAGACAGTGTGAGCAGGGGAGGGTCAGAGAGAGAGGGAGATACAGACTCTGAAACAGGCTCCAGGCTCTGAGCTGGCAGTCAGCACAGAGCCTGACGCGGGGCTCGAACCCACGAACCGCTAGATCATGACCTAAGTGAAAGTCGGACGCTCAACCGACTAAGCCACCCAGGCGCCCCAGATCTGAGGTTTTTAAAGATCATCCTGACCACAGTGTGGAGAGTGGACCAGGGAGGGGCAAGACCATGCATGAGGAGTGAGTTTCAGAGGTGGCTTTTCCAGTAGACCTGGGGAGAGGCGCTGGTGGTTTGAGGCAGGTGAAAGTGGTGGGAACAATGAGAAGTGGACTTGCTACGAGAAAACGGGGAGCATGAGCCCACAGGCTTGCTGGTGGTTGAGCTGTGGAGGCGAGGAGGAGGGAAGGATTAGGCCTCTCATCAAGCATTCCTGCTTGTCTCCAAAGCAGTTCTAGACCCCCCTTCCTACCCTGCCTCCAGGAGATGGTATCCAAGTGGACACTGCAGTTGGGGTGATTGCACACCAGGGGTCATTCTGAAAAGGAGCCATGATTTCTCAAGGCCCCCGTAACAGTGGCCATTGTTATACACAGTGCAGGAGCCACAGCTGTCCCCCACCGGAGCCTCTGTGTTGGTGATTCCACGACCTGGATCAGGCAGCCTCCCCAGGTCTTCGTGCGGCTGGTGGTTCAGCTCCAGCATGGTCTACCGTCACCCCTAGCTGCTCGTGAACACATCACCCTGCTTTCCTGTCTGCACAGCACTCGGCACTCTCTGAAATAAACTTATTAACACACTTGCTTACTTGTGTTTTGTCTGTATCTCCCCACAAGCAGGTAAACTCCATGAAGGCAGAAACCTTGCTCTTCTTGTTTCACCGTGCCTAGCCCAGTGCCTGGTGCCAGCAGGTGCTCAATAAAAAGATGAATGAGTAAACGACTCCCCAAAGTCCCAAGTTCCCCCCAAGTGCCTTCTCCCTGGGCAACATAGACGTCCTTGGCTCCGGGCCTGGGCACAGACTGAACAGCCCCTGTGCTCAGATTTCCCATGGATCCTTTCAGACTCACTCTGAACCTCTGTCCGCACACAGGGGCTCAGGTGAGTAACGGTTTTCCAAGAAACAGGATTCTTGCGGGAGTTTCCTTTTATTCCTCAAAGCAAAGAACTGCCAGGGCTGGTATTTCTCCAGACTCAGACTTGGGGAGCACAAAGCAAACTCTATAGGACCCTGGGACAGAATTCCTTATTCATGCACACGGCGAGAAGAGCTCACAAGCAAATGTCACTTGTGCTGCTGATTCGTTACTACTTCTTTTTCTGCTTTTGCCTACAGATCTCAGGGCCAAAGTCAACTGCATTTGTAGTTCATAGCTGGTTCTTTTTAACCCGGGGTGTTAGACGGGATTCAGTTCTCCCAGCCAAAGGATTCCATTCTCCCAGCTAAATTCCTTCTTGGAAAGGGCTCTTGATTCTTCTCTCTTGCTCTTCTTATTTTGTTTTTGACAAGATGCTTCCTAATGTGAAGATGGTGACGGCATTCAGCAGGGGGGAGAGAAACAGCACTGGGGAGGCCCAGCAGGACCCTGCAGAGCCCACCGAAGGGACAAGTCAATGCTGAGTCACCGTGAATGGTCAGTTCTCAGAGCCTGTGAGTCAGTGGCTGTGTGCATGGGGTTTCTTGTCTTGTCCACATGCCTGCAGTTCCCCCACCCCCCAAGCCAGAAGGGAAATGACTAATAACAGACATCACTGTCCAGTGATGATTTCACCTGAAATCATTATACCTGTGGGATAAGATGAGCTGTCATCTTACAAATCTTCTGTGTTGTCCCGGGGTTGAGTTAGATGGGACAAAGGATGGGGTCCCACATCGCCAGGTGAGGCGAGGGACCTCTCTCCAACCTGCCTGTCGCAGCAAGGGCGTCTCGGCTCACACACTGGCAGGTGAGCTGGGGCGGCATGTGGAATAGAGACCGAACTCTCTTCAAAGGCTCTGATTCAGATGCCGGAATGGACTAGGGGATATTTTTCTCTTAGGTGTTGCCTTTCAGGAAATAGAGGCAACTGGAAAGATAAACTTTTGGGGGGGATGGATAAAAATTGACTCTGAGGGATGTTTCGGAGGCCTCAGCTCAAGGTCACAGCAATGTCATCTGGAGGCCTGCTTGCCTTCCTGAACATTTTCATACGCTCTCCATCACTGCTGATCTGCAACCCAACCCAGATGGTAATAGCAATAATCTTTTACTGAATACTCACTGCATGATGAGCCCTTGATCACTGTATATACATACATATATATATGTATGTATGTATATATAACTTGATATATGTTATGTTACTTTTTTTTTAATGTTTTATTTATTTCTAGGAGAGAGAGAGAGAGACACAGCGTGAGCAGGGGAGGGTCAGAGAGAGAGGGAGTCACAGACTGATACAGGCTCCAGGCTCTGAGCTGGCAGTCAGCAGAGACTGCCTTTAGGTGAGTGTCCATTATTGTCTATATTTTACAGACCAGGAAACTGAGAAATCAGACATTAAGTGACTTGCCCAAGAACCGCTAGCTTTATGAGTACTGCCCGTGGGGCCTGCCCCTTCCTGGATACCAGAGGTTCCACTCTCATCTGCTGCTAGCCTCTGCTCGATCAAAGAATCAATTTATTCCATTTACTAAGTCAGGAAAAGTGTGTCTGATTGGCGTTTTTTCTTTCCCCAGAAA